TTTTTTTTTTTTTTTTTTCAAATACCAACACATCTTAATTCAACTTTGAATGATGTTCGTTCATCCTACCTTCCTCTTTCATCCTTTGAATGAGCTAATTAGCAAAGAAATAAAAAGAGTGAGAAAGTACCTTTCCAATGATACCTCAGAAGTCGAGATCGGAAGAGTTTAGGTTCAGTTATTCAAGTTTTCCTTATACCAATCTTTGAAAAAAGTTAAAAAAACAGCATTAAAAATCTCATTATTACGATTCCGTTAAAATTTTTTTTAAATTTTTTTTTTAATATTTTTATGTAAATTTTTTAAGCTTAAACCGTTTTGTCATTTGAGGGGATTTTTCAAAAAACATCTTTAAGAAACTATTTTTATTCATAACAAACACATTTTTGGAGGTATTTTGAAATCGGTTCAGCCCGCTTAAGTTTTAATATTTACCGATTTTTTTTGTATGGGGAGTGATGCAGTCTAATGTACATATGTATACTAAAACTATCACAAAATGCTTTCCCACTAACCTTATGACTGGATTCGGCAATCTGCTTCAATCCGACAGACAAATTCTTCAATTTAGCTGAATTCAAGGATAAACGTGACAGTAATGGCTTCGCTAAACCGTGACGCTTCGCCTCAGCCAAATCCTTTGCGTTGGCTTGCAGAATGAATTCTTCCCTGCTTACCAATAAATCAGCCAAATGGTTAACTGCACTTGCTCGTTCTTCCGGAGTAAGCGCCTGCATCTGTCGACTGCCAACGCGCGCTGTGGAAGCACAAAAACAATAAAATGATAATAGATAGTGCGAAATCAGAATAAAACTGAAAAGATTCAAACCAGTTGGCGTTGCCAAATGGAGTCGTAAATCGCAAGAATGTATGTAAATATATGTATGCATAGATATGGCGTATGTATGTGTGTACGTATTTATGTAGGATCCCAAACGAAATGATCTGTATAAATAGATGCACAATCATCACGTTTTTCTTAAAAAAGGCCCAAAAACAAAATTTTTTTTTAGTTTGAACCCCCACTTCTCTCAAAACCAAAGCGTGATGGGCACTTTTGAGTCCCAGAATCGTGTTCAGCGCACCAAAATACATCGCTGATCACTAGAGTTGGATTTTTTAGTTCAGTTTAAGATTAGTTTACTTTTAGTTCGTTCACCTTATTGAAGTATAGTTCACTTTTTTTTTTCTAAATATTTTTATTGAGCTTTGTACCACGATTGTTTATTAGGAAAAATTGAAAAAGCAACAAAGTCTAAGGGGTAGAAGTTATAGCACTATTTCGGAGATCACCACATCTCCTCATCAGACTTCTTTTTCTAGACTTCAGCAGGGATCGAACCTGCGAATTCGATGTTCAAAGTCAGAAGCGTTAACCACTGAGCTATGTACATCCCGTAAACTCTTGTTGCTAATTCATTTTCCTTATTCAACCAACTACTNAAGCCACAATAACATTGACAAATACATAGTTTAGGAAGAGCCTGCCTGAAACTATACAAAAAAGCAAATAAGCAAATGGATTTATAGAACTGACAACAACAACCACGCTGTCGAGTTTAAATAGCGGCAAATCAGCTGCACTTGATAGTAGTTGGTTGAATAAGGAAAATGAATTAGCAACAAGAGTTTACGGGATGTACATAGCTCAGTGGTTAACGCTTCTGACTTTGAACATCGAATTCGCAGGTTCGATCCCTGCTGAAGTCTAGAAAAAGAAGTCTGATGAGGAGATGTGGTGATCTCCGAAATAGTGCTATAACTTCTACCGCTTAGACTTTGTTGCTTTTTCAATTTTTCCTAATAAACAATCGTGGTACAAAGCTCAATAAAAATATTAAAAATAAAATGTTATCAAGCCACAATAACATTGACAAATACATAGTTCACTTAATTGAACTAGTTCGGTAGCAGGAGCTGAGTTACAGAACAACAAAAATGTATGTGTTATAACACATACATACATACATATATGAATTACCGAATAGTATTACCCAATGTAAAAACCTAACTGAATTTAAAAGAAAATTATTTGCATTCTGTAAGACTGTTCCAATATAACTAATGTGTTCTATCTCTATCCTCGCTAAGATCCTGTTTCCATTTACTATTTTAAATACTAGGTTAAGCCTATAAATAAAAATTGTTATGATCTAGGTTCAAAAGAGCCGGAAGAAATAAATAAATGAATGAATAAGTAAATAAAATATAAAAGATTGCAATAACCACACAATTCAGTCGTCTCCAAAATCACGACACGATCTTTATGGAAATTGGGCGGTGCGTGCATTTAATTTTCTTTTCTTCAATTTTGCCTTCGAAATGCGAGTAAATTGCGCTTGGCTTTGGCATATGTGAGAGAAAGTCTTTTGTTAAACAACAAATCCAAAAAACTTAACTCAATACCTACTTTTTAACACAAATTGCACTAAACGATGTAAAGCATTGGAAATTAAATGAAATAAAATGTCTTTTCAGCGGGAATTCCGATTGTTGTTTCTTTATGCCCTTACATTAGGGCTGCCAGACGTCCTGGTTTTTCAGGATATGTCTTGATTTAGACAAATTGTCCTGGTGTCCTGGTCCACACTTAAGTTGTCCTGGTTTTTTAATGAAGGTAAATGCAGACACTCTAATTTTTTGCAGATTTTTGCTATGAAAAAAAGGTTAAGCTTTCTGTCATTAGTAGTCGAAAATTGATAACGAAACGTTTTTTTAACATGTTGAATATCTAGTGAGTTTTCCTTCTTTCTGTTTAGTTTCTTAATATTTTTCAGGCAAATGCCAAAAAAAAATAGCGAAAATCGGCAATAATTGGTATCTGAGAGACTATACGTCAATATAATAGGGCAACTTCGGTAACGTCAGTAGCAGAGGGTTAAAGCGCAAACAAAATTTTTATACAGAAAAACCAAAAAAAAAATTTACTTGAAAAACATTGTGAATATTGAAAAAAAATCACCAAGCGCTTTCTTGAGTCACTGTATTTGTCTACGATAAATCCAGTTGAAGTTGTTTCAAATGACGAGGTTTCGTTGATGCCTTTAGTTTCATGACTTTCGCTTTTGGTTGAAGGAAGCCGAGAATATATATATATATATAAAGTTCCTCATTAAAAAATTTTAATTTTTATTGAAGTAACTAAAAAATAGAGAAAAACTATAGTTTTTATTCAAATAACTAAAAAAAAAGTTATTGGTCGATATTTTCCAGATTTGGTAAATTTGTCTCAAGTGGATGGTAAGTATTTTTTTCGTCAGTGGCAACCCTGGTCAGACGGCGTTCCTGTACACACATTGTGCATGTTCCATAGAAAATTATTACCTAGTTTATATGATGGTATAATTCGTTCTAAGTCAAACCATGTTATTTGAACACACACATATAAACACAATCTTAAATTGAATTGAAACTTTTAACCGTGCCACCATAAATCACATTTTGGATGCGAGTTAGGAGTTATTGAATCGTATTAAGTGTGCATATAAACACGGGATTAGTCCACGCGGTTGTTGCATGTAACTCTGTAGGAAGAAAAACATTAAAATAGTTCTAGAAATTATATTTAGGCTAAGCTTTATTATAAAATTAATAGCTAAGATCATATTTTCGTGGCTGTTTGAGTCTTTAATTATTATTTTTGCATGTTTATTAATTTCAAGAATTGACACATGTATTAACAGGGTTACTTAGGGATGAACGCAGTTTGAAAGTGTGCTCGATCGACTCATTTCTTTTGTTGCATATAAACACTGGCATTTCAATCGGGCTGCACTGACACGAGTTTATACGACACCGTGTTTGATGCCATATAAACAAAGTATATGTAAAAAATTTGCATCTAAGTTTAGTGTCGACTTTTTTTCACTGTTCAACATCTTCAGTATACTGACTTAATCGTGGAACAGACTAACTAATTACAATAGGGGTATTCTCGAAATCTTGCAAAGCCGTTGCACGTAGCACGGATTGCATAAACTGCAAACACCCAACAACAAAATACATGGGAAGCAGCGTTTCCTTTCGCTGCAAAGTATGCAACGCCTGCGCCCATGCACATATTTTGCAAAAAATCATAGCAAGATAAATGCGACTCTGTGCTAGCTGTTTTGTTCTCGGAATTGCTACAAGAATGATAGAATACAAGATTGCGCCAATCGAGCTGATAGCAAATGGGTGTGACGTTACATTATTATGTGAATGAGAGTGGAAAGAATAATTTTGAAGAAGAAGAGGAAGAAGCGAACAAATGGTGCGAAATAGTGATGTAAAACTAGGTTGAATTGTACCTACTCCTCAGCTTCTTAAATTTTAGCGTACATTCGGTACAAGCACATTATTTTAGGTACATTTGGAACGTAGTCAAATATTGTTTTATGTAAGACCTAAAGTTGATATGGTACAGAAGGAAGATGTAATCTACCAACTATCACAAGTGTATGCGCATAAAAATACATATTTACTGTTAAGGTACGTGTATCTACTTTTAGGTATAACTTTTCGGCAAATAGGTAAAATATGAAAATTGAATATTCATCACTAGTGCGAAAAATTAATAATGTGACGTCTGCGAAAGGGTGGATGCTGTCAAATGGAAAAAGAGAGGAATAGCGGTCCGCGGAAGGCGCCACCTTTGTTTCGCCGCTTTGTGGAATTGCTACATATTTCTCTCATTCCTCTTATCTCGCTCACTTCTTTCTTACAGCGCTTTTCTCAACTTGCAATGTTGTATGTCAAGACCACCATTTATGCTATAAATGTAGCAAAGCTATTTATGGAAAATTCTAGTTAGCAACCTAGTCTAGATATCAACCTCGTTGTAGGCATCATATCAAAGAGATACAATCAGAAGACTCTAGATGTCGCCCGGCCAGAAGAAGTTAAATATTGCGCCTAAATATATGCACTATTTACTTACTCTACAGCGGAAATGGACGACACGCCATTTATTTAACTGAATTTAACTGCTGCTATATGTATGTATGTTTATACTAAACGTGAGCAAACAACATTTTGCTTGCATAGTCTTCTGTCCTCTTTTCACTGCAAGTTGAATTATTTTAATATCTATTGCAAAATATTATACAGGCAAGACTAAAAAGTAGAAAATAAATAAAATAAAATAAAACTTTTTATAAATGGTCTAAAAATTAGAAAATAATATTTCTCACCCCATAGAATTTGTTCTGATAACTTTTGATTTTGAAATTTTAGCAAAAGTCATTATAGACCATTTATGAGATTGAAAACGAAAAGCATGGGGCGCATGTAATAGACCTGAATTGATATGAAGGGTAATATATCGCACACCGTCTTCAAAAGAGTCACAACTCAAAATAATACGTTTGTCAGAAAATGCGAAAAACTATTTCTTAGCACATGATAATCATATTGGCAAGGGCAACTTTACCTTAGGTTTTATTTAACAAATTACAACAAAAATTTGCTCCAGCTTTTGCTGAAAGGTAAATAAAAGCTCTGTGCACTTTTCTAGCGCATAATCTCAAAAATGCCAAATTTTGAGTTGTGACTCTTTTGAAGACGGTGTGCGATATGTATGAATGTGGATATATGAATAACGACCGCTTAAAATCGATCTCAAATTTTTACTTTCTCTGCAGAAATTTTTGGTCTATGTTATCATGATAAAAAAATAGGAAGGTAGAACCAAGGCATATTAAACAAGGTAGAAGTGATTTTGACATTTCTCTCTTTTGAACACCGACTATAATGTCAAATGATGAATAACTTCTAACC